GTCCTCAGCTTTAAAGCCCTCCACCGTCTTGCTCCACCCTACCTTCGTGAGCTCCTAAAGCCCCACCAACTCCCCCCGCTCCCCCCTCTCAGCGGGTACTGGCCTGCTCCATGTCCCTCGCCTTGCCTGTTCCAACATCGAAGGTCGTGACTAGCATTTCTGCACCTACCCTCTAGAACAACAACAACAACAACTTGGATTTATAGAACTTGTCCCCCCTCGCCTCCATCAAGGCCCATCTCAAGATCTTCCTGTTCGTCCTTGCCTTCATTCATCTATCCACCTCCACCCCCCTTGCCCTCCACCTCTCTTGACTCCAGTTCGCAGCTGAGTACAAACCCTTGACTGTCCAGCACCTTGAAATGTCCTCCTGATGTGAAAGGCACTATATCAATGCAATTTGTTGTTGTTGTAGTTGACCTAACAAGGAATAGACTGACCCTATAATAATAATAAAATAATAATCCTTGCATTTGATACAGCGCCTTATCATGCCTTTGGGACGTCTCAAGTGCTTCACAGAATATACTGTAAAGTGAATTGATGTATTTTGTGGGCGAAACACGGCAGCCAATTGTGTACAGCAGTGTCCCACCAACAGTCATGGATTGAGTGACCAAATTATTACTAAAATATATATATTTGGAGGGATCATTACCACTGGAAAAGCGATCCACCAGTCGACTAACAACCAGGTTCCTACTTACTGCTAGGTAAACAGAGGCGTGTAGAGTAAGCAAAGTTGCCTAACTTTTTGCTCTGCCCAGGAATCAAACCCAGGTCTTCTCCCATAGACTAACCCAATAGCAAAGAATAGACTGACCCAACAGCAGGGAATGGATGAACCTCATAAAAGAGAATACACTGTCCTGATAACAGGGAATACAATGACTGATTCCCAGGAGTGAAGGGGGATGTAAATATAAGTACTTTCTCCAGGAGTTAAACTGGCTTTGTGAAGTTAAGTTTGGGAACAAGGGAGCTCAGCACTTGTCAATGTTTCCCGCTGTCTAGTGCGTCTCCACAGGTGGTTCAACGACAGTCACTTTGCCTTCACATGGCTGCAGTGTGTTTCAGGCGTTTAGGATAATGTCAGCGAAGAGAGAGCGAGATGCTTTGAATGAAGAGTAACAGGCTGTACAATAGAAACGTTGTATATCATGCCTGCATACCCTGCATAGTAATCAAGACAACATTGTTTCCTATTGCTGGGACCTGCACGTCAGTGATGTCCTGCATGACTTGAGAGATTTATTCAATATATAATGACAAGTCTGAGATATAGTCACGTTAGACTCTTCACATATATTGATGGTGAGTTGTTCGCTGGCCCCTGCAGTTCTGTGAAATAAATGACAATCCTTGTATTAAACATAGCATTTTTGCATGTTGAAACACTTCAAAGACTTTTCCTCAATGTGTAGTCTGTGTATTTTGTAGGCAAACATGGTAACGAAAGTGCGCACAGCAGTGTCTCAAAAACAGCCACAAAGTGAAAGACCAATTTTTTTAATTTGGGGGATTGTTGGCCAGGACACCGGGAGAAACTCCCATCTCATTTCAAATAGCCCACAGGATCTTTGATGTCCACTTGGACAGGAAGCAGGGAGGTTGGTTTAATGTCTGACACAAAGGACTGCACCTCCGACATTGCTATCCCCCCCCACCACCGATACTGGAGTGTCAGTCTTGACTGTGAATTCACTGCCCCGACATAGGGCATAAGTCTTCAGCTGTCTGACCCAGAGATAAGCGTGCTACCAACTGAGCCAGGCTCTGTTATGGTTTTAGCTGGTCAGACTCCAGCAGTACACCAACGCACGCTCTGGGGTCCCCAAGCCTTGGCTCTTGCCAACTTGAGCCTAATACTTTCCGGAATTAAGTAAGCAGGATGCATCCCACCAGGGAGAGAGTGCACATTCCAGCAATCTATCTCTGGGATTTCCATGTGTAGATGGGACGCAGGGAATTCTCAGTTTGATTTGTATACTCTTAAACATGGTGATGAGTTTCCACATGTGTCAGACACCCAAGCTGGCCCCAAAAAATGACACTTAACCTTAACTACTCTTTTCAACCCATTTGCGTGGCAATACATCTCAAATAATTGGTTAGTTCTAGCTATTTACTTGCTTGCTCATTCAACAAACCTTTTCATTAAAGTCCAGTCAGTATTCATTCCATTATTCAGTGGAGTCAATAAACTGCATATTTATTGAAAGGGGTCGGCATTGTGAACAGCTGTTAAAAAAACAAGTCTGTGGATTAATTATTTGTTTAAAACCAATCAGAAGGGAATTGATTCCATTATTTAAAGCACTGAGTATTTCCATTATTCATTAAATTAATTTGCTAACTTACTCAATAATGTTATTATACATCTGACTGTTCTACAACATTAAAAAACAGTAAGCACCTGAGCATGTGAATAATTCTGACACCAGAGGCCAGAATTCCCCTCAGTCTGAGTCTACGAGATTGTTCTGTCCTAAAGTTTAAGATGACACAGAATTATAGAAAATTCTTTTGTTTTGATTTGGAATTTGAGATCAACAGTTACTTGGGTAGTAGATGTTTTAAGAGGAGTGGCCAAAAAGACAGGACATTGTCTTTATTTATTAAAAGATCTGCTACGGTCTAAATAAACTAAATAAACTAGTGGAACAGGCTCGGTGGGCTGAATGTTGTCCTCCACTTCCTGTTTTTCTATATACAATGGGTTTGCTTACAAAATACAAAATACAATAAATCATGTGAAGATCTTTGATACAACTTGATCATGTGGTAAGGCGTCATATCAAATGCAAATATTATTCTGTTTTTATCCCCACGGAAAAAAAGAGACGGCTTTCCAAATCGAGACTGAATTTAGGAATCAACCACAATTTGTTGAATTCATTCTCAGTCTTGAAACCATTTTTCTTTTAGTTCTTAAGAGAAATTTCCAGAAAAAAAAGGCTTCCAAAATTAAGGCTGTGTGTAATAGCCTGCCAAGCTCTGGATGTTCTGAAATGCTGCAGTAATAGAGTAAATCTAGACTCCGGTAAAATTTCTACCCCCTTATTTTTTACGTCACTGATACATTAAAATAATAAAAACATTAAAATAATAAAAATGTTTGCATTTGATATAGTGCCTGATATTGAGAACATCTCAAAAGCATTGAATCTAGACCCAGATGGAATTTCTCCCTTAAATGGTCTTGTCTTACAGGCTAAAGTAGGTAGAATTTCAGACTTCCAAGATATAGAACAAAAGGACATGAACAATAATTACAATCCATGCATTATATAGGACCTTTCAGGTCATGAGGACATAATAAAGCACTTTATACTGTAAATTGTATAACGGTGTACATTATGAGCGAATTGGCAGTCAATTTGTGCACAGCAATGTCCCATAAACAGCTATGAGGGTTTTTGGCCAGGATACTGGAAGGAACTGGAAGAATAGTGCTGTGCAATCTTTAACGTCAATCTAATACAAGGATAGCAGCTCCAATAATGAGGCGGGCCTCCTAACACTCCATTGGAGGGTCAAGCTAGATTAGATAGGTTAGGGTTGCAAAGACAGGATCAGGGTACAGATACTAGTATATATTACTATCCTAATTAATGACTGGCATAGGGGCTACTAGGATTGGTGGCTGAGGCTAAGACACTGGGATTAATTTAAAAAGAAGCTCGATGCTGCAATGGCAGGACGGTAGGATGGATATTCTGGGATGAAATCAAATGGGCCGAATGGCCTTTTTCATCCAAGCTAACCTTGTAATCTTGTGATTATGGACAGGAGTCTGGATTGCAGTACAGTATAATATAAATCTGTTTTACTGTTGATGGAAGTGAAGTGGGTACCAGCGTTTAATAGAGACCATTGTTGAATGCAATGGGAGAGGGAGGAGAGGTGGGGTGGGTGGAAGGAGGGGAGCAGCAGAGAAAACACAACCCATTATTAGATTTAAATTACATTTCCCTGTGGCGAAGCCTTTATGTGCTGGTGTATGAAAATAGTAATTTAACCATTAATTCCAGCAGCATTCACAGGAGTTATTGTACAGCCGGATATATTTTTCCTGGAATCCTCTCAGCTATGCTGAAGGCACGTTTATTGCTCATTTGCTTTAAGAGCTCATGGCTTTAATGGAGGCCCTGGCAGAGGCTTTATCATCCGCTAACAAATTTCTCCTCACCTCCTCCTATAAGAAACACTTGCCTGGATGGTTACATTCCATAATAACAAACCAAATCTCTGGGATATCCCTACAAACTCTCCAGGGTTAGGTTAGCAGGTTTCGTCCCTCTGGGGAGAGAGTGCTGTGCTCCATACCAGTAACGGGGAGCTTTTCATGAATGTGTATGTGGGTAGAACTCTTCAGTAACTTGTTTCGGAGGCTCTTCCAGCACGGTGATGGATTATCGTGTGTGTCCCAACAACCTGAAAAAAACAAATGCAGATTTTTAAAAAATTAGTCTCAGTCTGTTTCTCTTTCTTTTTCTCTCTTTCAGGCTAAAGGTCTTGTGCTTTTGGTATTGCTAGTAGGATTCCCCCCACCTTTTATCAATCGCGTAACGTCGACTAGACGTTTTAACCCAATCTGTGCCCTGACCATCAGATGATTCACCAGATTATTCACCCACTCACCTCACGGTCGGGATGGGGGTCGCGATTGTCTGCCAAAAGAGAAAAACAGTTACTACACCTGACATTAATTGCTGTGAAGTGCTTTGAGATGTTTTGGCATGATACAAAGCATGGGAAAAATCGAGTGTTGTTTCTCTCACAATAACTTCAGTGAGATGCCTCACTCCTCACCCTGCTCTGATTTGAGTACTGTTCACCCGAAGTGTTTCTGCCCCCATTATTGACTGATGTCAGCAAAGTTGACGCACATGAGGCCGAATGGAATTGTTAGCCAATGTCAATTAATTGAATGCTTACTTTTTTCTCTTCCCCCCTCCTCCTTTCCCTATTCCCCCTTTCTCCCCTCTCCAAAACAGCATCACAGATTGATCCGAACGAAATCCAAGAAGTCTTTCAGGAGCTCACAGCAAACATCTTCCGCATCAACACAAATGGTGAGTTAGTTTCCTCCATTGTTCGTAGCCTCAGACCAGTGGCTGGTTCTGATGATCAGAAGGAGAAGTTTAGGAAGATATTTGTAATAAATGGACGAGATTTCATACTTTGTGTCAGGTAAGAGAAGATCCTTTCACAATTAGATACCAACGAAGATTGGTCACAGTGAGATCGTTGTAATTGGCGGAGAAGCTGAGAAATGTATTATGTAAAAGGGGGCATGATAGGGAAACAACAGAGATTTTTATGATAACACAAAGAAGGAGAAATAATTTCCACTGGTCAGTGAGTCAGTAATTAGAGGGCACAGAATTAAAGGATTTCAGAATCCTCTCAGTCTATTTTTTAGTCAGCCAGGTGTCTGACTCATGTAGAAACTCATCACCATAGTTAAAAATATCCAAACCAGACTGAGATTTAAGGTGATTGCCCAAAGAGTAAACAGGGAAGTTAGGAGGGTGGCCAAAGGCACGGTCGATGATGGGGTGGGCCAGGCGGGGGATGTGGAGCAGGCCAGAGCCTGATGAGTGGAGGGAGTGGACAGGTTGATAAGCGGTTAGCAGGTCACAGAGGTAGGAAGAAGCAAGGCCATGGAGGTTGAGGACAAGGCTTTTGAACTCTCTCCTCTAAGGGGTTGGGGAGCCAGTGGAGCCGGGTGAGGGTGGGGGTGACAGGGTCACGGGGCCTGGTGCGGGAGAGGACACGAGCTGTAGAGTTCTCGATGATCTGCAGCTTGTGGAGGGAAGAGTTGGGAAAGCCGACAAATAGGGAGTTGGCGTAGTCGATCCTAGATGTAATGAAGGCGTGTATGAGGGTTTCGGTGGCCTGAGGGATGAAGCAGTGGCGGAGTTGGCAATGTGAAGGTGGCGGAAGGCTGAGCGGGTCATGACACGGATGTGGGAGAAAACAACAAAATTACATTTGAAAAGCGTCTTTCACATCGGGAGGATGTCCCAAGACGCTTGACAGACAGAGTTACGGACTGAAGCTGGGGGTCGAGGTGTGGGAGGGTGGAGGGCAGGTCGAGCTGGGGGAAGCAGGACGATTGAAAGCACAGTTGAAGAGGAGGATCTTGAGATGGGTCTTAAAGGTGGTAAGGGAGTTCCAGACGGTGGGGGCAGAGTGGTGGAAGGCCCGCCCGCCAATAGTGGTGTGCGCGAGGTGGGGGATGTGATGCAGGCTGGAGCCCGCTGAGCGGAGGGAGTGAACAGGATGGTAGGGGGTTAGGAGGTCGCAGAGGTAAGGGGGAGCAAGACCGTGGAGGGCTTTGAAGGTGAAGACCAGGATCTTGAACTGTATCCTCTGTATCCCTCACGACCACATCACTCCCACCCTCGCTCGCCTCCACTGGCTTCCCATCCCTCAGAGGATCGAATTCAAGATCCTCATCCTCACCTACAAGGCCATTCACGGCCTTGCTCCCTCCTACCTCTCCGACCTACTATCCCCCTACCTGCCTGCCCGTACCCTCCGTTCCTCTGGCTCTGGTCTGCTCCACATCCCCCGCCCCAACCTGGCCTAGGGGCCAGGCCTTCAGCCTCTCAGCCCCTAGGCTCTGGAACTCCATCCCCCAGTGTCTTCGCCTTGCTTCCTTCCTTTCCTCCTTCAAGGCCGGTCTCAAGACCTTTCTCTTTGACCGTGCCTTCAGCTCCCCTCTCGACTCTCTACCCCCTCCTCGCTACCTCCCTTCCCTCCCCTCACCCTGACCATCTCCCCCCTGCTCGGGTCCTGACCCAACTGTCCAGCGCCTTGGGACATCCTCCCGACGTGAAAGGCGCTCTATAAATGGAATCTTGTTGTTGTTGTTGATGGGAAGCCATTGGAGTTGGGCAAGAATGGGGTGATAGGTTTACGGAACCACATGTGGGAGAGGACACGGGCTGCAGAGTTCTGGATGATCTGCAGCTTATGGAGCGAGGAGTTGGGGAGGCCGACGAGCAATGAGTTTGCATAGTCAAGCTTTGATGTCATGAAAGCATGTATGAGGGTCTCAGCAGCCTACGGTGTGAGACAGTGGCGCAGCCGGGCGACATTGCAGAAGGGGGAAGGCAGAGCCGGTCATGGTGCAGATGTGGGGTGGAAAGGATAGTTGAAAGTCAAACAAGATGCCAAGTTTCCAGACTGACTCCGTAAGGTGGAGTGTGCAACCATAGATGGTGATGCTGTCAGTGCCTGAGGTGTGGAGGCGGTGGCGGGAGCCAATCAGGAGAGCCTCGGTCTTGTTGACATTCAACTGGAGAAAGTTAGTTCTCATCCAGGACTTGATGTTTGATAGACATTCTGTCAAGACAGCAGCTGTCCTGGATTTGAGGGTGAAGGCAGAGAGACAGAGATCAGGGTCATCCGCAAACATGTGGAAGTTGACCCCACGTCTACAGATGATGTCACCAAGAGGAAGCATGTATATGGACATGCCAAGGACAGAGCTCTGAGGAACGCTGCACGAGATAGTGTGGGGGCTGAAGGAGAAGCTGTTTGTGGACACAAGGTGGAAACGGTGTGAACCACTCAAGGACAGAACCTTGAAGGTTAAGGTGAGAGGAGAGGCGGTGGAGGAGAATAGATTGGTCAATGGTATCGAAGGCAGCAGAGAGGTTAAGGAGGATGAGGAGACAGGGAGTCCTGATCACAGATGGACGGAATGTCATTTGTCACTTTGAGCAGGGCTATTGTGGGCAGCATGGAAACTCGATTGGAGGGGTTTGTATAGGTAGTACCGGGTGAGGAAGGAGTGAAGCTGGGAAGCACAACACATTCCAGGACCTTGGAAAGGAAAGGGAGGTTGAAGATGGGACGTTAAATTGAAAGCAGGGATGGGACCAGGGAAGGTTTTTTTGAGGAATGGGACTAAACAGGCTCTTTCAGGTACGATGGGCTGAATGGCCTCCATCTGTGCTGTTTGTTGGGCATTGCTGTGTGCTATTTGACTGCTGGATTCACTATACAAAGCACAGACACTACACTTTGTATTAAATGTGAAGCTGTTTGAGAGGTCCTCCTGATGTGAAAGGTGCGAGATTAAAAGCAAAGATTACTATTTTAATCAGATTGCACTATGCTAGCAACAGGCACAAATTTAGGATGTTGTTAGATCCATTCAAAGGCTCATCACATGTAAAAAAAGCCCATAATCATTATTATAGGGGGTGTTGGAATAATAACCATGGGGTTATTTCAGTGCTGCTGACAGTCAGGAGAAATGCAGCACTGAATAAATGATCAGGAAGACAGTATAGCCTTTATAGCAGTTCTCATCTGACCCCTTCTGAATCTCTCAAGGTATGACGTAGGATGGAGATGATTCCCTCTATGACTTGAGGGGGGGTGAGGGGGTGGGAGGCACTGCATTGCTGATTGCTGTTGACTGGAAGTAGATACAATTTGATCAGAGGCCACTATAATTCTCTCTGTACTGGGGTCACTGCATGAAATGGGAGCTGCTCTTCCTGCTAGCTTGATTCGTGGAGAGGAGACTCAGCGATCAGAATAATGCTGTGGGACCCCCGGCATAACAATAATAATAATACTTGCAGGAAACCTTGGGCAAGTTTCCTTACTCTACACACCTGATAATAATACCTCAAGAAACAAAATAAAAAACAATAATAATTTGGTCACTCAGTCCACAACTGTTTGTGGGATGCTGCTGTGCACAGTTGGCTGCCGCATTTCGTCCACAAAATATACAGTCAATTCACTTTACAGTATACTCTGAGACGTCTAGACAACATGAAAAGTGCTATATCAAATGCAAGGATTATTATTATTTGAAATAGTGCCTTATCACGGCTTTGAGACTTCTCAAAGCGCTTCCCTCAATATATACTTCTTGCAGGTCCGAATGTCATTGGGCCCATCATGCATATTAGAAGTCTGGCTTCCAATGTGAAATGTGCTGCTTTGTTGTTATTGTATCTACAGTAGGCAATGAGGACAACTCACTGGAAGCTGTATAAGGCAAGGCCTTAACTATTTAGATTGGAGCACTGAGTGCGTTTCTGCTCTTATGATTATTATTATTGTCCTTGAGTAAATCACAGAGGTGAATAAGCAAGGTAATTCCAGGTATTAAGAGACCTTTCCTTGACAACAGCAACAACAACAACTTGGATTTATATAGCGCCCTCCACGCCGGACAGCGTCTCAGAGCGCTTTACAGTAACGGATCCCGGGGCCGAGCCAGGGGGAGGTGGGGGGGAAGGTGACCAAAGGTGCAGTCGAAAAGAAAGGTCTTCAGCAGAGATCTGAAAATGGGAAGGGAGGGAGTGAGACGAAGGGAGTGAGGAAGGCAGTTCCAGAGCCTCGGGGCATAGTGGCTGAAAGCACGTCCGCCGAGGGTGGAGCGGAGGACTCGGGGCACGAGGAGGAGGCCAGACCTGGAGGAACGAAGGCAACGGGCACTGTTTTGAGGAGAGAGGAGGTCAGAGAGGTAGGGGGGTGGAGAGAAGTGCAGGGACTTGAATATAGGGGTGAGGATCTTGAAATCGACAAAAGGATTGTGACAAAAGGGTCAAGGAAATTGTTTCTGTTTTCTTTGAATCGTGGAGAATTCAAAGTGCCCCAGATTGAAGTTTTCCAGGATATGAAGGAGCATCAAAGGAGCTGTTAGCCCATTATCACTGTACTGAATGATTCAAATCCCAGAAGTAGGGTGGACGGGGGATGTTGTTGAGACGCAGGTTGACAATGGGAAAGATAAGAGGAAGAAGGAAAGGCAAGCAGAACACTGAGGGACGACTAATAAAGCAGTCAGTGAGGTTTGCAAAAGGATTGCATTTTTGGGGGTCAGTTGGTATCTTGGCATACACAAATGCTAAAGACTATCTAAATGAGATAGAGTTCAACTTGTGCATGGGAATTTTATGGCTATGGATAGCGCTTTCATCTCTTGAGTCAGAAGGTTGTGGGTTCAAGCTCCATATCAGGGACTCTGGGCTCCCTGTGGAGGCTGACGCTCCAGTGCAGTGCTGGGGGAAAGCACTTCACTGACGGAGATACCATAATAATAATTCTTGCATTTGATGTAGCGCCTTGTCACACCGTCGAGTTGTCTCAAAGCGTTTCACTGAATATACTGTAAAGTGAATTGACTGTATTTTGTTGGCAAAACATGGCAACCAATTGTGCACAGCAGTGTCCCACAAACAGTTACGGATTGAGTGACCAAATTATTATTATTTTGATGAACCCTCATACTTTGGATGAGTGTTGAATCAAGGTTTTCGTCTGTTCAGATGGATGTTAAAGATCCCATGATACTCTTCGAAGAGAGAAGGAAGTTTCTCCCCCAGAGAGAAAAAAATGTTTTTTCAATTCATGGTTGTTTACAGGACATTGCTGTGTGGACTCCAGTGCTCGGGAGAAATGCAGAGCTGTTACAACAACAACAAGATTCCATTTATTGAGCGCCTTTCACGTCGGGAGGACGTCCCAAGGCGCTGTACAGTTGGGTCAGGACCCGAGCAGGGGGAAATGCTCAGGGTGAGGGGAGGGAAGGGAGGGAGCGAGGAGGGGGTAGAGAGTCGAGAGGGGAGCTGAAGGCACGGTCAAAGAGAAAGGTCTTGAGACCGGCCTTGAAGGAGGAAAGGGAGGAGGCGGCGAAGGCACTGGGGGATAGAGTTCCAGAGCCTAGGGGCTGAGAGGCTGAAGGCCCGGCCACCGATGGTAGGGCGGTTGGGGCGGGGGATGTGGAGCAGACCGGAGCCAGAGGAACGGAGGGTACGGGCAGGTAGGTAGGGGGATAGTAGGTTGGAGAGGTAGGAGGGAGCAAGGCCGTGAATGGCCTTGTAGGTGAGGGTGAAGATCTTGAATTCGATCCTCTGCATTTTATAGAAATCCTCTATGAAGCACTTTTGAAATGCTACAAAGTGATAAGGCACTGTATCAAATGCAAGGATTATTAAGTAAGTCGTATGATTCTTTTACTAAGCGGTAAGATTGCTGATGGCTGAACCAAACTGAAGAAATTTAAGCCTTTATTTGGCCTTTGCTTTGGTCTCTCTTTCTCAGGTTTAATTTCCTCCCACCTTCCCTTCACAGTGACTTCCCTGGAAAAGAGTCTGCCAGCCTTGGGGACACCCAGTGACACTCAGCAGTTGAGAGATGGACTGTAAGTAACTTTTCCTTGCCGTATAGATTTTTGTGAAGAGACTAATAGCGTTGTCTGAGGCTGTGCTCGGGCCTCGATGTGTAATTTTATATACCTGTGAATAATGGACACGGTGCAAAATAGCCATCGATTTCACCACTCTGTGACCGACTGGACTGGGAGCACTGTGCGAGAAACGAAAGAAACTTAAGATCGTCATAAACAGTGGAGCTTGAAACTGGCTTTGGCTTCTCCGTCAAGGGCACAGAGAGCGAGGTTGAGGGTTGAAATAGGGGACATGCACGAGTTTGGTTTGTTAAGATGACAAATTCAGACTGATTGTACTCGGGATACTTCTGACTGAATGCAATTACTCCGTAATAAGGATGAATGAACCATTCTGTAGGGTTTGGCTTAAAGGGAAAGTCACTTTATTATTCACTTATTTTGATTTTCTGCAAGATCCACTCAATGGGTTGAGGGCATTGAGTGATGGAGATTGAACGAACGTCTGATTTCTTTTTCTGCAATCACCGGCTCATCCCAGTCCTCTCCAGACTGGCTGGAGTCAGTCACCTTTTTACATCAGGAGCTAACATGAAGTTGGGCAGTTTTGCTACCTCACGTTGAGTTAAGATCTTCACAGACGTTAGGCTCAAGCTGAGCAGTGATCTGTTCGTTCAGCTCTGGAGCACTGCAAAACCAAGCGGGCCCTAGAGGCAGTGTAGAGGAGAGAGTCAAGGGTGATCCTCGGTGTTAGAGGAATGAGTTGTAAGTAGTGTTGGTGGAAATCAATACAAATCAGCAAATATTCATATTGGTTGTTTTTTGTGAAGTTTCACAAATCAGCAAAAATAAATGTTTTTTTATTGTATATGCTGCTCAATTATTTTCTCTTTGGGCACCTTGACCACAGCCTCTTCTCTCTGGAGTGCTGTTCCACGGGCTGTTGGCCCTTCAGTAGCTCCTTGCCCAAGTTGCCATTGTTTATATGTGAGCCTCAGCAGTAAGTGTCGGCAGACTGTATCTAAATTCAATGTGAATGGAGGGATCAGGACAGGACACTTATGACAGCGTCTCATAGTGCTCGCATGCTAAGACTAGGTGGCATCTCAGGCCTCTGACTTCCAAATGTCTTCTCTGATTTTTATTCTGTCCTTTGTACACTGCTTCTACGACCATTAAAACACAAAGATTGAATTGGTGGCTTGTAGCATTCCTCCCTAAAGCCCTTTATTCTCCATGTTCTTGCTTGTTAATTAGTAATAGGCTGGGACAGACTGGCCTCTTGGGCCTAGTTAGAAATTATTTTTTTAATATTAATGTAGCTTCACAAGGCTATGTGTGGCAGATAGGAACCTTCCCATAGACATCCCACCGATAAAGATAGTTTCCCATTGGATCAAAAGTGTGCATGCTGATACAAATGTGAGAATGTAGAAATTCACGTTTATACTTTTTCCCCCCCATGTCATTGCTGTTATCTGAACAAGCGCTCACTTTGTAGGTTTGTGTCTTGTATTCTACCACGCCTTGTACTTGTGTTCAGAGTGTGGTCACAGTGCTCACTGTAGTGACGTTAAAGGGTGTGGAAAGCTATACTTTCGCCCACAAAATACACAGTCAATTCATTTTACAATATATTCTGTGAAGCGCTTTGAGACGTCTCAATGACTTGATAAGATGTTATATTAAATGCAAGGATTATTATTATTATTACTTCAGACAACAGGGAGCTGGAACAGCACTTGAGGTCTTGATGGGTGTGACGAAAGGGCATTGATGTTAAAAAATCTGCCAAGACCTGATAAAGAGTGATGGCTCAGAAAAGTGTCAGGTTGACTCAGTTTGTAGCAATCTCACATCTGAGAAAGTTGTGGGTTCAAGTCAGAATTCAGAACTCACATAGTCTATCCTCACACTCCAATACAGTGATGGAGAGAGCACTGCATTGTTGAAGGTGTAACCCTTTGGATGAAATGGTAAACCTAGGTCCGTCTACTTGCTCAGGTGGATGTTAAAGATATGTTGATGCTATTCAAAAAGAGAAGTTAATTTCTCCTTGCGACTTGACCAACAAACCCAAACAACAATGTTGTTGTTATTCAAGACTTTTCTGTGCGTAAATTGGTTTGCCTGCAAAATACACAGTCACTTCACTTTACAGGGGAGGAGGAGGAGAAGGTGAAGAGAAATTTGAGGTGCCCTCTTTCAGCTCCTTTAGATAAAATGTCAAACAAATGTCCATTCTGACCGTTTTAAGGTGGGCCTTGGCAATCTTTCACCCCTTCCCTTGCTTCTCTTCTTGAATAGGATGCTCAAAGTCCATCTTAACAGGCAGGTGGGACATTGATTTAACATCTCATCCGAAGGGCAGCGCCACCGAGAGTGCGCTGGGAGTGCCAGCCTGGACTGGGAGCTTAAAGGCCCCAATTTGGGGCTGGAACCGTGTGGCCCAGAGCACTACAGGCTAAACCAAGGAGATACCTGGCCAAGGTGAAACCGTGCACAAAATGACCAGTAGTATTTGCCGTCGAGCAATCTCAACAACTATCTGAGTTGCTGGAAAATGCCCTAAACTGCAAGGATCATCCAAGGTGGATTGGCATTTTATATTAAATTGAATGCATTCCTGCACAGTTTAGTGGGATTGACTAATGGAACCATTAATAGCGGCCTTATCTTCAGAGCAAGACTCTGGGAATTGACAAATAGACAGTGTTCCAGGTTGCAGTAAAATACTGCCGTCACTATCTCAGTGGAATTACTCCATAGGATTAAGTGATAAACAGCAGATTATTCATGAATGGAATAAATGGGTTATGTACAATTATCTTTTAAACCATCTGGATTAAGGATGCTTTGCAATGTTATTTTGGGTGGGGGTGGGGGGGTGGTTTAAGGGGCTCATAGAGTGATTTTTTACCCGAGGCGTTTTTATTTCGAGTGAGCACCTATCTCGCATGTTCTTCAGGCCAATCCATCCTCTTGTTCGAGATCCCTAGCAGAGCAGTTACCTTCTTGGGGCCTGCACAAATCAGATTGTTCACTCAGTCTAGTTATCCTCATTGTGTGGGAGAAGTAAGCACTATCCTTTTGAAGCTGAGCTGGCTCCAAGGTAATTTGCTTGGCAACAGAATCCTGGAATTGAGTCTGTGGTGATCTCGATATTCCAGTTCCTGAGCCCCACGGGTCTACAGTACCTCAGGGCACTGCTGATGTCAGACCAGCCAAGCTGGCTCATTGGTAGGACTTGGAGGGGCAGACAAGTTACTGGGAGCAGGGATTCTTCTCACTTGGCTCCTGTTAACCCTGCAAGTCAAAGCTCTAACAAGAAAGGTAATCCTAGCTGGACAAGCAGGAGGAAATTTGCAACAGTAATATCAATTGAAGCTGTGCAATGTTAGATGGTTAAACTCCAGTAGTTACCCCAATACACACCCTGGGGTCCCTGAGCCTTCCTCTTGCTAACCTGGGCCGAATACTCTCCAGAGTTAGGTTAGCAGGGTATGTCCCATGCAAAATACGCAGTCTTTAGAGTATATCCTGTGAAGGCTTTGATTCATCTCCTGATATGAAAGGCTGAATATCAAATGTGCACAATATTGTTATTTCCACATCTCCGTTCAATCCTGGTTGGCCTGCCACCCTCTGTTAATGCTTCCCCCCACTTATTCAAGGAGTAACGGCACTGGCACAGCAAAGCCAAAGTAAGATCAACATAATCTTTAAAGTAGAGCCAAGATGATTTTATTTGAATCCAGAACATATTTCCTTCACACAGAGGCTTGCGAGGATGTATCCCAGAAGCTACTTGCTGCCGAATTGATTAAGCTGTTTAGAAGGGAGGCAGCAAACATTCTCGGGTGCGGTGAAAATTGTTTCTCTATACATGGTGCGGTTCCCATGATAACAAGAAGGTTCAATACAGCACTGAACTGTTTACAGCAGGGACGAGACAAATCCCATTGACTGAGGCAGCGTGCAGTTGATCATCTCTCAAGCTAAAAATGGCCGACTTACGGGTTTTTAGGTCGCCGTCAATGTCACTTCCTTCTTACTGCGCTTATGCAGCAAACAAGAAGTGACATCAGTGGAGGCCTGATAATTCGGGCGTCAGCCATTAATGTTTAATAATCATAATAAGAATGCTTACATTTGGTACAAAGCCTTTCGGGTCAGGAGGACGTCCCAAAGCACTTCACAGGATATACTGTAAAGTGGTGTGACTTGTGTTTTATGTTTTTTTTAGCTCAGGAAGCACAGCACATTAGCGGTGAAGCCATCTTATTACAAGGTGAGTTGGGATTTTATTTATCCCAGTCACCACCTTCTAACCTCCACTCTTATTTTTTAACGGTGAAAAGAAAACAAATTAACGATTACCTTCCTGGTGTAATCATTTGCAAGATTAATTTCCACAAGTTGCAGCGAAATAACATTGCTCTGTATGTGATATCGTTTAAAAATGTTTTTATCGAATTTAATGATGTTTGAATACCCTGGGACCAAGACACTTATTAGTCTGAGCAGCCTTTGCACATTGGAAAATGTGGGGAAATACTTTTCACTCTTGCCAGTTAATTGGTGTCAAGCCTCCAAACACTGGAGCCACTTAGCCAAAGCATCCTTCGGTTCTGTTGCATTTGTTCTGCCTGTGTTGTCATTGTGATTCACATGGTGATTCACAGGCTTTGTTTCAGGTGCCTGCCAGTGCACTGAAGAATTATTTAATGAAGCTCCTCAGTTGAACGTATATGTATGTGTGCGTGTGTGTGTGTTTTTTTGCTTTTGTCTTTATTTAACAGAATGTGATCGGTAAAATTCCTGGCAAGGTAAATAGTTCATTTGTCACCCTGGCTCAGTGGATAGCTCTCTCACCTCTGAGTCAAAAGGTTGTACATTCAAGCCCCGTGTCAGGGATGCATGTAGTCTAGACTCATACTCCAATCCAGGGCTTGGGGCATTGCTGCACTGATCGAGGTATCTGCCGGTTCAGGTGGATGTTAAAGATCCCATGG